TCTCTCTCTCTCTCTCTCTCTCTCGGTGAGGGAGAGAGAGAGAGAGAGAGAGAGAGAGAGAGAGAGAGAGAGAGAGAGATAGAGAGAGAGAGATGCCAAGGCTGATCCTGAAACCCGGGAGCAGGCCGCCGTGGGTCGGCTTAGCCGCCGCCGTGTGGGTGCAGATGGCGGCGGGAAGTGGTGCGACATTTCCGCTTTACTCCGCCGCACTGAAATCGGTGTTGGGCTTCAACCAACAACAAGTCACCATCTTGGGTGTCGCCAATGACTTCGGTGAGAACGTCGGTCTCCTTCCTGGTTACGCCTGCAACAAGCTTCCCCCATGGGCCGTCCTCCTCGTCGGAGCCGTTGCTTGTTTCCTCGGCTTCGGTGTTCTCTGGCTCGCCGTCACCGAGACTGTTCAGGGTTTGCCCTTTTGGCTGGTAAGAGACGACGAGTGGGTCTTCGGATTTTTGATGTGGGAGTGTTTTGATTTGGATTTTTTTAATTTGTCGGATACCCATTTGAGATCATCAAGAGATAATTACTGGGTTGTGAGAAAGTTGGGATTTTTTGTTGACCGATCTATGTTTATGGAGATATTTTTGGTTTTTGTTTGATTGCTCCTAGTTCTAATCAGTTCTATTAGAAGTTGCCGATTAAGGTAGGATCTTGAGATTTACTGTTCTGGTTAACTAAGTTGATGTGTGGTCTTCGTAAGCCTGTCGATCGATTTATTTGCCAGTTGAAGTTTCGATGTTTCAATTCCAGTAGTCAATCGAATAACGGAACTTTCAAGGGGTGCTTGGAACAGGAGGAGATGCCATTAATTTCTTTCTTTTCTTGTTTGGGGCACGGAAATTTCTTCTGAATGATTTAAAAATCTCTGATTTCTGCGGAAGGAACTAGAGATTTTCTTGTCTCTTTTGAACTCTACTCAAACTGCTATTTTCTTGATGTCCTGGCAGCTATTTCTAGCGCTAGTAATCGCCACAAATGGAAACTCATGGTTTAACACAGCGGTGCTTGTCACCAACATGAGGAACTTCCCTCTCAGCCGAGGCACTGTCGGTGGCCTTCTCAAAGGCTATGTCGGTATCAGTGGAGCTGCATACACTGTTCTATACAGCATGATGCTTAGCCATTCTGCTTCAAATCTTCTACTTCTCCTCACGGTTGGGGTCCCGATATTATGCTTAGTCGTGATGTACTTTGTCCGTCCCTGTACTCCTTCTGGCGAAGACTCTTCCGAGCATGTCCATTTCACTTTTGTCCTATCGACAAGTATATTGCTTGCTACCTATCTGCTTGTCACGACCATAGTGAGTGAGGTGGTTTCCTTGACAAGTGTAGTCAAATATGTGCTACTGGCTACTATGGTGGTTCTTTTGATGTCTCCTCTGGCAATTCCCATCAAGATGACGTTTTTCCGTGCAAATTCCAGGAGGAACAGCCCTCTTGCTGGTTCTTCGGACAATTTAATCCAAGAAGATAGTGAGTCAACCGAGAAAGAGCCATTTCTGACACATTCTTCATCAGCTTCATACCTCGGCTCTCTTTTCGATGAGGATCCAACCGATATGGAGATACTTCTCGCTGAAGGGGAAGGAGCCGTGAAGAAGAAGAGGAAACCCCGAAGAGGAGAGGATTTCAAGTTTGGAGAAGCTTTCGTGAAGGCCGATTTTTGGCTACTTTGGTTCGTGTATTTCCTCGGGACGGGTTCAGGCATAACTGTCTCGAACAACCTCGCCCAGATTGGCTTTGCGTTTGGAGCTAAGGACACGACAATAATCTTGTGCCTCTTTAGCTTCTGCAACTTCATTGGTCGTCTCACTTCAGGTTCCATTTCCGAGCACTTTGTCAGGTAAAACACCCTCTCTTCTCTCTCTCTTGGACTTGCTCTCTCCAAACTAAACTAACTTGTTCGACTCAATTTCTCTTCAGGTCAAGAACGCTTCCAAGAACGCTATGGATGGGAGTTGCACAGTTCTTTATGGCGATAACGTTTCTCATCTTTGCGATATCTTTGAAACACACCCTTTACATCGCAACCGCCCTCCTCGGGATTGGCACGGGTTTCCAGTTCTTATCCATCTCCACCGTCTCTGAACTCTTTGGTCTGAAGCATTTCGGGATCAACTTCAACTTCATACTTCTCGGCAACCCAATCGGGGCCACCATTTTCTCGGCCGTTCTTGCTGGTCACGTCTACGACATGGAAGCCGAAAAGCAAGGGAGCCAAACCTGCATCGGCCCTGACTGCTTCCGTCTAACGTTCCTGGTTCTAGCTGGAGCCTGCGGCCTCGGAACATTGCTAAGCATCATTCTGACAGTCAGAATCCGCCCGGTTTACCAAGCTCTCTACGCTTCAGGCTCTTTCCGATTGCCACATACTTCTTCTTCAGATCATTAGAAACGTCTCAGACATAAATATGTCTGATTATAGATGCGATCTATCTCATAGTTATAGCTCAGATTTCATGGAGCGGCCATTTTTTTTGGGTGTGTTTTGTGATGTGTATTATTCCGGTGGCTCAGTGGCCAACCGATGTGAGAGTGTAATGTAAGGTTCTGTTGTATTTGTCTTCCTCGTGATCATGATATTGTAATGTTGCGTTTCTTGATGTTTGTAACTTGGCATTGATCAATGTACTTGTTAACCGGATTATACCAAATTACCAATAGCTAGTTAACCGGAGATTGTAAACCGGGTTCTGCAAGACAAAGGTTTCTTCTCTCCAATAAATGTTGAAGCGTTGTCCATGAGAAACCCCAAACCCTACTCGTTTGTAGAATTAAGAAATCTTGGAAAAAAAATGGATCTTCCACCGTTTCTGATCGTCCATGAACCAGAACTTGTTCTCATCATGATCGTTCATGTTCCACGAAGAAGACGATGTGCACGAAGTCATGCCCGATTATGGATTCAAGAGGTGGGGTCTTCCATAATCTCTGGGTTCTCACATTTCTTGTTTCGCACGGAAAAAAGATCGAGAAAAAAACATTGGAGTTGTGGCTTGCACCCGATGGATCGCTGTGGCTCTAGACCACAACAGCAAAAGGAAATATCAGGTCGACATTAATGGTTTGGTCACAGTAAGTGTTTGATGAAATGCCTGAGAGAAACAGAGTCATTGTGAAATGTTTACAGTGGCCGCAAAGCTGGGCCAGGTATTGCTTCTGGGTGGTGAATCAACAACAATGACTTGTCCCATTTCCCTATGTTTTGGTTGAAATTTAAAGCTAGTCACATCCAACAGGTCTGCTTTGGTCTTTAATATCTATGAATCTGTCGGAGAAAAAGCATACATAATCACAATTTGGATTTTCTCACGAGGGAAATTGAAGTTATCACACAACTTCGAATCGATCATAACATTGATTATAAACGTCATGATCTCTGTCTTGCTTCTTTTGTTGTTGCAGATTTGGTGGTCGAGAATCCATTTCATTTACGAAGATTCAAACTTTGCGTTCTGGGTCCCGTCTATTCAGCACGAGAGTTCAATTCTGCCATTTGGGCTCTTGACTTCTAGATCACGCCAATGGAATATCTACTTTTGAAGGTGCGTTTCCCTGGGGCTGTTCTGTAATGAATTTTTCACAGTTTAAAAATTTACATATTCAAAGAACATGTTGTGTCAAAGGCCTTGCTAGATCCTTCCGTTTTAACTCCTAGATTGAGTTAGTTCAGAGCGTTGAATGCCATTAAGACTTCTTAGTTGTTTAGAACAGTGATCTGTCTTTGTTCAAGTTCATAGATATTATGAACCATCCAAGATTCCAAATCCTAGTCTTTTCCGAGTAAAATTACCTAACGCTTGTCGTGCCTTAGTAGTGTTGGTCAAATGAGAGACGTGACCAAGTTCAATACGAAACCTGGTTAGTGGGTAATTTCTATATCCATGACTTTTATAACTCCCAGATTCGGCCTTGTGGTTACAAGTTGGTATCGCAGAGATGTTTACAAGTCTTTTTCATATTTGACGTCTCTAATAAATTTCTACCAGTGTCATTGGCATGTGCATGTGAAATCTGTTTGTGCACGTATGCTCGAGTGTTATTTCGCTCACAGCCTCTAGTTTTTAGTACACAATATTACTGTCTCGATGCCTTCACCTCTCACTCTGTTTTTTTTTTTTAATATTCAGGATCAAATTTGAAATTAGCTATCCATATTGTGTTAATGATTATTTCAAATTCATGATTTAACCGAATCAAAAATGAAAAAGTTTTGCTTGAAAGTATTTTCCTTTTCTTTTCTTTACCCCAAATGATTTTCTTTTTCTTTTTTGTTGTGTGTGCAGACAAAGCTAATTTTGTTTTGTTCTCAGAATTTTTCGTGGCGACAAATAATTCAGTTTACAAGATTTACACTTGTCCCTGCGAGAGCATCCTATAGACAAGTGTTAGACTTCTTTTTTTTTTCACAGTAGGGAGAGAATCATATATTTAATATGTTTCCTACAATCAAGATTTCACTTTTCTTTTCTCTAATCTTTCAGAAGAAGCTTAAAAACCCATGAACGCTGAACACAGTAGAATATCATCACAAACCCATCAGAAGAGGAACCAGAGAACTCTGTTTCTGTCCGAAATGCCGAAGCTTGTGATAAAATCAGGAAGCAGGCCTCCGTGGGTGGGCTTAGCAGCTGCGGTGTGGCTCGAAATCTCCGCGGGGAACGGCTCCAACTTCCCGCTTTATTCCAACGCTCTGAAATCCGTTTTGGGTTACAATCAGCGTCAGCTCACGTTGTTGGGTGTCGCCAATGATGTGGGAGAGAGTGTCGGCTTACTTCCCGGTTACGCCTGCAACAAGTTCCCGCCATGGAAGGTGCTTCTTGTCGGAGCTTGTGCTTGTTTTTTAGGCTATGGAGTGATCTGGCTTACGGTTACAGAAATTGTTCGTGGTCTGCCCTTTTGGTTGGTAAGTGAAATCTTGTTCTTCTCTGTATGCTGATTGATGTTTTTGTGCTTGATTTCGTGACAAATCGGTGTTTAATCATTAGAAGGATAAGCTAGATTATTCAATCACTTGTAACTGGACGTTTAAAGTTCAGCGCTATGTTTCTGAACTGCTTTTCTTCTCTAAAGTCTTGTTCTTCTTGTATTTCTTTGTTTGATTTCTCTGTTTTTATTGATCCTTGATTACTTTTTATGATCGTGTTCCTTAAAGTGAGAAAACGGCGAGAGAGCAATTAGAAATGTGCATACGTCTGTAAATTGCCTTTTGCACCCCCTCTGTTTTTCTTGATTTCCCGTTACCTGTTTAAAGGTTGGAACATGTTACTTGTGTTATATCAAGTCTGATCCTTTTGAAACTTCAAGAGCACCATTGATATAAACAGTGTTTTTACCTGACATTGCAGCTATGGATTGTGCTTATTATTGCCACGAACAGCAATGCGTGGTTTGGCACAGCTGTCCTGGTGACGAACATGAAGAACTTCCCTCTTAGTAGAGGAACTGTTGCCGGAATTCTCAAAGGGTACGCTGGAATTGCCGCTGCTGTTTACACTGTTATATATGACGTCTTATTGAACAAATCCCCTCCAAAGCTGTTGCTTTTCCTCGCTCTTGGCATCCCGGTTATTTGTTTCGCCATGATGTACTTCATCCGTCCATGTACTCCTGCTTCTGGGGAAGACTCTTCAGAGCACGTGCATTTCGTTTTTGCTCAAGCCATGAGTATCTTGGTAGCGGTCCTTGTCCTGGCGATAACTTTACTTGGTAATTTCATCTCATTGAGCGGTACGGTCTTGTATACACTGGTTGCCATAATGGTTGTTCTATTGGCTTCTCCTCTTGCAATTCCAATCAAGATGACGCTTTTACGGAAAAAGCCCAAGAGAGTTAACCCTCCTCCTCCAGCTGATCCCTCGAAAGATTCATGTCAAGCTGAGGAGGATGACACAGAACAGACCTACCCATTGCTGAAACCATCGTCTTCATCAGCCTCGTTTCTTGGAACTTTCATTGAAATGGATGATACTTCGGATGTGGAGACACTTCTGGCGGAGGGAGAAGGGGCAGTGGAGGAAAAGAGAAGACCGAGGAGAGGGGAAGATTTTAAACTGGGAGAAGCCTTTGTCAAGGCCGATTTCTGGCTTCTCTGGTTCCTTTACTTCCTCGGGGTCGGCCCAGGTGTTACTGTTCTGAACAACTTGGCTCAGATTGGGATTGCTTTGGGCGTTGATGACACAACAATCCTCTTGTGCCTCTTCAGTTTCTTCAACTTTGCTGGTCGGCTTGGCTCGGGAGCCATCTCTGAACATTTTGTCAGGTACGTCAGTGAAAATTCGTTAAGACATTCCTGCAAACAAAACTCCGATACACAAAAGGGAATGACATTCGTTCATAGACTAAAAAGGTTTCACCTTTCAGGTCAAGAGCAATGCCAAGAACCGTGTGGATGACGGTCGCTCAAATTGCGATGGTAATAGCTTTCCTTCTCTACGCTGTTTCCCTGACAGGCAGTCTCTATCCAGCGACCGCTCTTCTCTTTGTTCAAGTTCATAGATATTATGAACCATCCAAGATTCCAAATCCTAGTCTTTTCCGAGTAAAATTACCTAACGCTTGTCGTGCCTTAGTAGTGTTGGTCAAACCGCTCTTCTCGGGACATGTTACGGATTTCAATACTCTCTGATGGTTCCTACTGCCTCGGAACTCTTTGGACTGAAGCATTTCGGCTTAATCTATAACTTTGTGCTGCTCGGAAACCCCATCGGGGCGTTTCTCTTCTCGAGCCTTCTGGCTGGGCATTTGTACGACGCAGAAGCTTCGAGACAGGGAAATTCGACGTGTTACGGGCCGGAATGTTTCAGGGTGACGTTCTTGATGCTGGCGGGAGTTTCTGCCATGGGGGCGATGCTAGGAGTGATTCTGACTGTAAGAATAAGACCGGTGTATCGGTCTCTCTATGCATCTGGTTCTTTCCGGTTGCCTTAAAACTCTGTGACCAATTGATGCTTTGTAGTTATGAGCTTGTGCCGTTTGTGTGTGTTTTACATCAAGCGATCACATCTTCGTTTTTACTGTTTTTTTTTTTATTTCATATGCGGAAACTTTACCAAATGGATAGATTTATTGTCCAGCAGACAAAAACATTAGAGGAATATAGGGTGGGAATTGTAATTTCAATAAATAAAAGGGGGAGAATATGTAAATTCTGAAGTAGATGACAATAATTCTTTGCTTCGGAAAGAGAGAAAGGCGATGAAAAAGCGGATAAATGGAGATGTGGAGACACTCATTACATGAACAAGCATATTACAGAAGGCCCACATTTCCTAATAGCCCTAATTCTAATTCCAACATCTCAATTTCTGATCCCCCAAAGATCAGAATTCAATTGGTTAATGAGCCCCCAAAAAAAGATTTAGTATTTAGCCTAACGAATCACACTGGAAAATGGCAAAATTTAATCCATGGTGGAAGAACCCTAAAAACCCATCTCTCACCATCTATCTGATTCCGCATCAGAGAATCCAACAAGAAGAATAAAGGGAATTCAAAATCGAACCGAGATTTCAAGTGGGTTTCAGGTTCTGAAACATCGAATCCCACTTGATCTCTTCGAGGCCTTTACCCCAATAGTCATCAACGAGTTCTTTCTCCTCTTTGAAACCGTAATCGCAAACCATGGGGCCCGAGAAGCTGTCGAGCCTGCACGGAGTCCCGTTCGTCAACAGCAGCCTCTCCTGCTTGAAACTCCCATTCCCGTTGCTCGGCATCACCGATCTCTTGCTCCTCTTCAGCATGCCGCCTCTCCACCTCCCGTTCCCACTGCTCGTGCTCCTCGGCACCACCACGAGAGCTCGAGACGACTCGTCGCGGCGAATCCAGGCGCGTAAGTACTCGGAGAAACACTTGCTGGTCTTCTTAATCACGATCATGATCCTGGAGAGCTGCGATGATTTCCTATCGCGGCGAGCGAGCTTGAGGATCTCGAGGCGGTGCTTGGCGATGGAGATGCCCATGCTCTGGAGGAACTCGTGGTTGAAGTAAGCGATGTCTTCGTGTTCGAGCTCGTTGTGGGAGAAAGAGAGACCGTACTCGTAGATAAGGGAGGATTCAAGGTTTGTCCTTGAGAGCCATGAGAACCAATCCATGGTTTCGTTGCTCTGAAGAAGAAGCGGTTTTGATCTGAAGTGAGAGGAATAAGGTTTGTGAAAATGTGTTTGTGCGCATATAAAGGAGAGTAAGGTGGGGCCATTTTAGAATTTTTAAAAGTGGTGGGGTTTGTTTGTTATAGTGGTTGAAACTTCCGAGGGACTAAAGTATTCCAAAGTTAAAATAAAAATATTTTTTAAATGTTGTAAAATATAACGGCCATATTAGAACAAATACTTATTATTCACAAACTTCCGGTAACTATCATACATATAGATTACTTATATATCTAATCATTCGTATCGTAACCATAAAATTTTAATCATGGTTACAAAGACCATAACCATAAGATCACAACAGTAAAATTCTAGTCGTAATTGCGAATTTGCAAGTATAAAAAAAAAGTTCAATGTTGCTAAATGGAAATTACTAATAGATGTTGCAGTTTTATTAATTTAATGAAAAATAATATATGTGGTGAAAAATATACAAATGATCAAACCTTCAATTTTACGAATCCTCATGAAAGGATGAGTAGTGAATAGTGATGGGTGGTGTGATTGTGAGTTTCTTTTTTATATGTCATTTGATAGGTGTGTTTTGATTCATCAATTGTTAAATTAAATTTTGAATTTAACAAATACTATGATCATTAAATTATTGATTTTTTTTAAGAAGAATTTCCTTAATGTTTTTTTTTTTTTGCATATTTTTGTTTTATCTTTTTGTGTCACGCGTTTGTGTAACACTTTGTAAGGTTAGAGAGCCATAAATCACGGTGTGGGAAAAGGGCAAATATGGTGGGGCAGCTTATTATCCTTGCTTTTCGGTCCACTCAGTATATCTCTATTTTGTTCTTTATATTATTTTTAATTCATATATATGTATATGTATATGAATATATCATTAATAATGTTTATTTTATATATTTTCTAGTTTTATCTTTATTTAAATTCAATGAGAATTATAAAGTTACCATTTCAATGTATTACGTATCAAAAGTTTTCCAAAGTGATAGGAATCCACTTTGCTTTCCAATGGAAAATACTTTTATTATAAAGTAAATAAATTGGCCGGGTAGGATTTATAAATACCATAATAAATCAAATAAAAAAACATATTAAAATTAATAAAATTGGAAAAGAAATAAAAGAAGAGTTTTGACCTGCGAATTGAGTGCCATCCGCCACCGTTGCATTTGTTTATAATATCTCAATTTCAGATTAAATCAATGTTATCTCTTTATTGTTATATATTATTCTAATTTCGAAGTTTGATCATCTTGCTTATTTCTTTGTCGCTCGTAATTTTAAAGCTTATACTATATGATCGCTCAAAACTCGAGGATTTATAGTAAACTATATTTGATAATGAATGTAACCATGCATGATTCCATGACCCTCCGTGTACAATTATATAATATACTACATGTGTGAAGAAATTTAGTGTCAAGTTTATTCTGTAGAATTGGTTAACCATTGTTGTCATGGCAATTAACCTACTAATTATATTATCTTTGTAGGTAAGCCAATTTGACATTGAAACATTTTAAAACTAAAAAACGGTAACGATAAAATATAAAATTAAACCCCAATCAATTTATATATGTATTGATGTATTTATATTCGTTGTATGCATTTAAGAGAATTTCATATGCTTGATTAGTTATATGCCCTTTGAAATTATTTTAGTCAACGTACATTTTTTGTTTAATTTATTGATATATTTTTTAATTTCACATAAGAGAAATTCTCGAGGAAGATAAATCTGTGGCTTTTGAAATTCATGCAAGGTCGGCTGAAATGCTTTGACCACTTTTTTTTTTAATAACAAAAGAAAAAGTATGCTAAGTAGTTTAGTTATATAAATATAGTGAACTTGATTCAACGATTTTATATAATAAAATACACCTTGTTTTTTCTTTTTCATTAAAACAGCAGACCAACAAATAAAAATATATTATCTGGACATTAATGTACGATTAAAAAATAAAAAATGTACTAGTTTAGTTTTATTAAGACATACAATAGGGTTTTTTACTCAAATGATCCACTTGGATCGCAGCTATTTCACGCGTATGAGGGGATACGGAGAATCGTAGGTGACGGCGGTCTCCGATCTGGATCGAGAATCCTGAGCTGAGTTCTCCATGCTTCTCCTAACAAAAAAGTTTCTGAGAAACAAGTGACAGAGGTCTTCGCAAAGACTAATTCATATCGTATGGAACTTGCAATGAAATCTCAACTTTCTCGGGAAAGTGACAAGAAATTTCGATAGAAAAATCCAAGAGAGACGGCGTTCTCAGCTGAGAAAGCCCAATAACGGCCCATTTAAGCCCATAATCGTAACCCAAGGTCGATGTCCAAAGAGCCCTTCGAATAGCCGCAAAGCCGATCCTATCCGTCGAACGAGTTTTTTACTCAAATGACTCACTTGGGTCTATTTCACGTATACACCACAAAAAAACATAACATATTATTTTTTTTTAAAAGACGAAATTACCCTTAATGAATACACGATATTTATCCGTTCGAAAACAACTTCGTTATTACGATTTCGTAATTAATTCTAAAAAAGATGGCAAAAAAGTTACAATTGATTCTAAAAAAAGTGGCAAAAAAATCATCTGTCTTATTTTAGTTGTATATCAGTAATATGTTAGTCGTAATAAGGTCGCAAAAAATAAAAAGAAAAGGGTATTTCGGACTTTTTCAACCGAAAAGTGGGTTAAAATTGAAAAAAAAAATTTGTTTTTTTTCGGTGGTGTACGCTGAAATAGCTGCGACCCAAGTGGGTTTTTGAGTAAAAAACCGCATACAATAGTAGTAATGAGATACTTAATCCGGGTTCTATTTCGTTTTTCAACATACATAATATATATATATATATGTGTGTGTGTAGATGTAGACAGAAAACATTGGATCACGGGTCATGTGCATGTGCATGATGTTAAATCGTGTGGGATCTGAGTGTCCATGCATTGCACCATATATCCACTAACACTACCACTAACATCCATTTCTGTTTTCGGTTTGGCCACATTACATCACCTCTTAACCACACGTGATTTTACGTAATAATCGCCGATATCATTAATTTTTAACTTAGCCTTAATAATTCCTTATTATCCTCTTTAAATCTCGTTTTACGTGTCTGTCTACTGTTGCATGGTGCTTAGCACTGATTGAAATTATTGCGTTTCCCCTTTTTATATATTCTATATATATATATATGAAAGGAATCATCATGCTTCCTTCACGAGATTATTTGAATAATTTCAATTTCATATTACATGGTATTTGAATGTTTATTTCAGCAACAACATAACATAAATATCTTATACATATATATAACTAAAAAAAATCGAATTTTTGTAATATCCTTTTTATGATATAATTCTGCATAAAAAAAATATAACCCTCTACCACATTTATCGTCCATCACAAAATGACCAAAATCATTTATGACAATCAATTCACCAACCATTAACTAACACTAATCACAAGAAGCCATATATCATATTGAAGGAGGAGGTTGAGTTAGATTACCAAATCTAGACAATTAGGTGCCTAATTACTTTTGTTACGCGATGATTAGCAAAAATGAATGCATGGAGGAGGGAGCTAACTACTCCTTGTTAAGTGATAATTAAGCTTTCCCATAGTTATATCTTTGCTTATACTTATTGACTTGCTATAATTGAAATTTTGAAACCACCTTTTTTTTTTGTATTGATATTAATTAAAATGAATTCCATGTAAATAATCATTCCACGTTCGACGTTTTTCACTTTTTACGATGCATGCGCATGCAGTCAAACATCTGAACCTCGCAGCTCCGAAATCATTCAAACACGTACCCCCAGAAAAGGGAAAAGGTTAACCCCGGTTCAGATTCGGTTTACATCCGGTTTAGATTACAATCACTCGGTTTAAACTTGGTTAATGGTCATCATCAAAAGCTGTTCTTGGTCGCAGAACATTTTTTATTCATAACCCCAAAGTGTACAAGAAGCCGAGAGAATCATACAGACTACACAATACAATGGCAGTTCAGGAGGCGGTTCCAGATTTCACATTCTTTCCAAGCCAGCCCCAGAAGTGAAAACCAATACAACCTAAACCATATGATCCCAAAATGCAGACACAAAAGTAGAATTAACTTCATTTCAAACAGCAAAATCATGGGACAGAATATCGTTTGTATACATAAAAATTCGAGTATATGGGACGAGGAAGAAGACTCGTTACACAATTCACAAGCCCGCGATCTTACTGCTCAGCCTGAACAAGAGCTGCTAATTGAGATCTTTCCAGTTCCCTGGTGTACGGAAAGTTTCAATTTTTGTGTCCTAAAAGAATCATAAGAAATCAATCTGATTTACTTTGGATGCTATATATATTGCCGATGACTCCTACAAGGCTAACTACAGCAGCCAAGATCAGCATAAACCATGACATATACTTTTCCCCGAGCCTTAACCCGTCGCCCTGTGTTCCTAACCGCAGTGATATAAGAGCAGGGAATGTAAAACCCAGAGAGACGGCTGATGTTGCACCCGTGAACTTGAAAGCGGTCCATATGTTTGGGATCATGGTAGACCCGATGTAAATAAGCGCCAGCAAGATGATTGTAAGTGCCAACGATCTCTTCTTGCTTTCAGACAGAGGAGGGTAACCCTTGAATGCTAAGGTATCGACGGTTTCCCTCAGGGAGAAATGGATTACAGGGAAGACAAGAATCAGATGAAGAATGTATCCAACTCTGACAATGTAATTCAGGGCAGAGCTAAAACGGATGCCGAGGTCTTTGTCAAAGTTTGTAAGAACATCTGATTCAGTGTCCTTGCCGAAGAGAAGGTAACCAGATATAGCCGTGGAAGCATATACCACAACACAAATAAGAGTGGTGATCCTTCCTACCCGGTTCATCTTCTGTGGCGACTTACCCTCGAGCTCATTATAGATCGGCTGGACATTGAAGTGACAGACGTAAGCGTTTGACATGATAGGAATGACGACGAGGAGATCAAGAATTGCCTTTTTGGAACCGAAATCAGGAGTCAGTCTTGGAGGGTCAACTGTCCCTTCAACAAGCTTGATCACAGCTACAGCGAAACAGACGACGACAAATACAACGGCTAGAGCAACTGATGCTGCTGAGGTCAAGCTCAAGGAATCGATCTTGTTCAATGCACAGAGTGGAGCCAAAAAGATCACCAGAACTATCAAAATCAAAACTTTGCGGTGATCCCAAAAACCATTACCTAACCATTGATCGAAAACCCCAATGTGACGCACTGAACCTGACATCACATCACCCATGATAATCAGATACACCACAAGAACGCCAGCATTGTTCACGATGATACAGATTTCGGACAGAAGCCTGGCGGTTTTGCCCATTGCACATTGCACGACTTCACCATAGGATCTAGCCTTGTGAAGAACCGCATATCTGACCAACAATTCAACACTAATCTCAGACAGAATCCCCATCAAAATAATCAACACAAACCCTAGAATCAAGCCGAGAACTTTCATGGTGGCAGGCAATGCCATGATTCCGGCACCAATAATCGATGTCGTGAGATTAAAAACCGCACCGTAGACCCCAGACCCAGCATTCGATTTCCCCTGAACAAGCGTATAATCGTCGATATCGAAGTCCAGATCATCCCCATGTTCATCACCCACAACACAACCATTACCGTGATCATCAAAATCATTCACAAAGCTTTCTTCATCGGAAGAAAGCAATTTACTTCTGGGTTTTGCCGGATTCCCATTGTCGGTATGTTTCTGCAATTCTAAGTAAGAACTTTTGGGAATGACCGAGTAACTGCTATCCATTCGCCAGATCTGAGGAGAACCCTAACGAAATTACAGGAAATGAACTTACAGATCTCTCCAGATCGTAGAGGATGAAAGATGTGATCTTTCTATCTCGAGCGAGCGCGATTGTTCAAAATCGCTCGCTGGATCTCAGGCTCTTGGTCAACGTCTCCTTCCACGGAGAGAGAGAGAGAGAGAGAGAGAGAGAGAGAGAGATGAGGGAGAAAGAGAAAGGTTTCATGCAATTGGTGCTTATGTCATTCTTTCTAGATACACGTGGAATTTTTTTGTTGAATAAAAGGTTCACATCAATTTATCAGTTGAAGCATTTAATCGGATATCCAAATATCTTCAAATTTTGTTGAAAATTACACGCTTTGAATATCCAAAATATATATGTGTGTTTTAAAATTAAGATTTTATACTACATATGGAAAAATATTTTCTGTGAAAATTCCATGGACTAGTAGTTGGGCCTCAAAATCCCCGATTGGTCCGAATCCATGGGCCTTACCATATAAATTAAAAATAATTGAATATTTTAAGCCCGGATTAATGACTTTATATTTCATTGATTAAGAAAAAGACAGCTTATTAATTATGATATTTGATCGAATTAATTTTAGTCGGTTTCAGTTCTTCGTAAACATCCAATAATGAATAATTTAATAATTATAGGATATATTATACAATAACGAATACAGACAAATTGAATCAAGATTATCCATATTCCCTCGGAGCAGGAAGTAACTTGAACTGTGACAAGATATTCACACATATATATATACACACACTCGTGCGCGAAGAGAATTCTAATTTTTTTTTTTTTGGATAATTGGAAAGGATAAGGAAAGTCTATGCGAATACTATATATATTTTTCAAATCGTTCAGAAAATGAAATTTTCAAATATTACATGAATTTCTTCTAGTAAGATAAGCCTATTTCTTTTTTTTCTTTTCCAATTGCCTATAAATTTGGAATATTAAAAAAAGGGAATAATTATACGATGGAAAAGAAACAAAGTGTCGAGAATTATGTCAAAAGTCTTTATGGTTGAAAACGACCAAAAGAAACCCACAAAAAAAAAGTCGTACTCCTCGCAATAATGCAGAGACTCTGATCTCAATTGATGCCTGATTGACCACCAAGTGTTGGATATATATATATATATATACACACATGTGCGTGTGTATGTAATGCATGTATATGCACGTCTGGTATGTTTTATTAAAACCTTGTCCGTACGTAATTCATCAATCGCATATCCGCACTTATTGTTCAATTACAATCGCCCGTCAGGCTATTTAGTTGTAATCAAATGTTATTTGTGTTATAAAATGCAATATCATCATTCAATTTCAACCGTCTAATTTCGTTTGATATTAAAACAATATATTAAAACCACCTTCAATTTAAAGTTTTAAACTCAACTCTCTGTGTTAAAATGCAATAGAACAGCTGTGAAAAAAATTATAGATGTAATTCAAGATATGAAAAAGAATTTTTCTTTTTTTTCTTTTTAAAAATAGATAAATCGTATGATTTCGATTAGAAAAATATAAGTATTATTAAAAAGCTCAAAAAATAAATATGAAAGGGAAAGAAACAGATGAGAACAAATGTTTCTTTGTATGAATTCGTCTTCATGTGATCCCTCAAGTCTCGTCTATTTAAAATCCATCCCCAACAAATAATTTAATGCAGTTGATTAAAATTAAGAGAATAAATCGCGTTTATAACTATTCGTTTGATTTTGATTGTGATTTGTGTTGCAATTGTTATATTTATTAGTATTTTTCTTGCTAATTGATGTGACACTCACCAACTTGTCTTCTCCCACACTTTTTTTCAGAGCACATAATTTCAAAATTCAATGATATATAATACTAAAACAACATTTCTTCATTCGTACAGTTTTTTTTATAATTTAAAATACGAGATTAAAAGTAAACGACGACTACACAATCACATTTGTATAAAAGTGTGATATATAATAAAAGAAAAAAAAAACACTCAACTTTTTTATTTTGACAAAAAAATACTAAATTTTATTTTTTTATCAAATAAACCTTAAACTTTTTAAACGAATCTAAAAAAATACTGAACTTTTTAAATGATCCAAAAAATACATGAACATTTTTCGATTGTCAAAAAAAAAATCTGAAAAATATAATCTGACGTGTTTGCATTTCATTGTACCACGTCAGTCATTTTGTTTATTTTGACAATCGTTGAAGAGTTAAATATTTATTTTATCAAACTTAAAAAGTTTAATATTTATTTGATAAAATAAAAAATTCAATGTTTTTTTTTTAAAATTTAAAATTTCAATATTTTTTTAGGATTTTTTCTATAATAAAATGCATTTAAAGAACCCCAAACGATAATATTATACTCTACGTCATATTATGGATATCCTATTTTCACCATTAATGGTGGGAGTAATTGTGCTGGAAAAAATAAAAGAGATCTTTATTTTATTTTCCAAGAAATGTTTAGTTTAACCCCCCCCAGCCAACCGATAAGTTATCCCGAGAAAGAGATCTATTTATCACGAGACGAGAGAGGATATATTGAATCTTTCTCTGAACGTGTAAGAAGAGGGGACATAAGTGACCAATCGTGGACACATATGCTCTTCACTTCTCGAGTACGCCCATTTTTAATTATCAATTTACCAATTTACACCATAATAACAACACGACAATATTTTAACACTAATACATTAGCTAATAACATCAATAATATTTCCTCCATTTCTTAATAGTTTGACTTTATAGACAATTTTTAAAATAAATTTCAATTTTATCTTTAATTAAAATTAATCAATTCTAATAAACTTAATAAATATTAATTATATTTAACTTTAAATAAGGGTATATATAATTTTTTCCAGTTTCTTAAAATTTGTAAAACAAAATTGAAACATCAATTATTATAAAATGAAGGGAGTAGTATTTTTCAGCGAGAAAACCAATAAATTTAGTACTTTTTTCCGTCATTTAGTACTTTTTTCACTTTAAATAGCATTAAGTGCTTCTTTAGTATAACAAGTTGAGTTTTTTCCGCATTTATTATGACCATCTTTTCGTAGATGATACTACCATATATATTTTACAAAACTAATATCTTGGTTTCTCTTCATGTAAGATATGTTCCATATTATAATAATCATGCATAGAAATGGTATAAAGCTACGAAGTCATTATATAGACTAACAATTTTAAAATCAAATACGATTTCTCAAAGAAAAAAACCCCACAACGTTATTAATTATACCAGTATTTTGAATTTAAAATAAATTTGTTATAATTTTTAATAGAACCCAGATATTATTAATCAAACCCGGGATTGAATTGAATTTAAAAAAAAAACACTAAATTTGAGGCGCATTTAAAAAAAAAATTTTTGTTAGGGGTTTTCTCCTATGTTTTGTGGAAAACCGGTCTTGTTAGCGCATTTATAATGTTGTACCAACATATATATGAATTAAAAAGTAGTCATTATATAGGGTAATATTCTCCTATATAATGAAATAATAAATAATGACTATTATCTCCTAATATTAATAATTTAAAAAAATACCAGAGTTTGACTGTGAATAGTGGTCATTATGAACAGGAGAGATAAAGTTATAAAACTAAAACAAAATTTTAAAAGAAAATATTAATATTATGGAATGGATTAAATATTGTTTTTGAGCCATATCGTATCGTGGGTCAATGGCGATATGCGTTTCCAAGATAACTTTTTCATATCGCGAGATTAAAACCGAACCTCTATAATGCAATCCGAGTTTATCATCTCTCCATCACGTGATGTTAAATGAGTACCGCATCGTTAGAACGATATATATAGCTCAATGGCAGATACCGTAATTTTTCTACAACTCAAGGGTAAAACCTCATGGAAAACCATGATCTGAGACGCTCCGCCACGAGTTGACACAACTACTTAACACATCTAATCGAATACTGACCGTTGGATTCCTTCTTCGGGGTCATCGGGACAGATCGATGGTTGTCCATTCTTGTCTGAATCAACCGTGACGCAGGCGATTATAGCTTCCTAGAGTACAGCTGGCAGCCAGAAATTCCGAGCCGCTAACGTCGACAAGTGTAGCCGGCTAGGTCGTATGCTTTGCTTTCACTGTGCTTATTGATAAGTAGGTTGGCTTATCGAACTATGCATCAAGGTGTGTGATATGTCACCAATCCTATCAACATCTATTATCGGTCACCTTCCCTTGTTAAAATCGCCATTTCTGCAAGTTTTATTGTCCGTATAAATATTTATTTTGAAGAGAGAGGAAATCATTCCCCAGATAGAGAGAGAGAGAGAGGAAAGAGAAGCCTTTTTTTGCCTTTCTCTTTTTTTTTTTTGGGTAGAGAGAAAAAGAGTCCATCATCAATCCCTTCACCTCTTTCATCTCTAGAGAGAGAAACTTGGTCTTCTTTGGATCGATCTGTTGTTCATGGTAAGTAAGCTTCACGCTTCTGTCTCTGCCCCTGTTAATGGAATCTAGCTGTTTGAATTTATTCTAATTTATTTCAGTTTTTGTTGCCCTAGCTTTCCTGGGTTTTGCTTTTCCCCCCTTTTTAATAATTGTTTTTGCTTCTTTCCTTTTTCCATGTAGTAAAAAGATGCTCTTTTTAGCTATTTAATTCGATCGCCAATACTAGAAAGACCTAAACTTCGTAAATTTTTCTGCTTTTTTATACTAATTATCTGCAGGAACGGGAAGATATCTGGAGAATTTTTGAAGATAGTTTAAAGATCTAGCCGCAGGTACTAATTTCGAAATCCCTTTTTTATCTTTTTGTATTTATCTGAATCTCGAAACCCATTTTAGCTGATTTTTCCGCCGTTTGTGGTTAATCTTGGACATTAATTTTTTCGTAGATCTGGTGATAGTTTTTGGTGGGTTTTCTGCATCTGATTTGAAAAAGTCGCGGAGAGAAGGAACATGTCTTCTCTTAGTAGGGAGCTCGTGTTCTTGATCTTACAGTTTCTTGACGAAGAGAAGTTCAAAGAGACTGTTCACAGGTAGGTTGTGTTGTGTAACTTCTGTTCTTCTGGCGCTGTATCGCACGCACTTCCGATCTAATAGCTCAGGCTGAGATTTCAAGTTCCCAATTTTTGCTCAACTTTAGCAGCAGAGACGATTCTATGACCAATGGGCTTGGGAGCGCTTGGTTTATTTGTAATTTCAATCATAGTTTCCAGTGAAATTTCATATTGCGTTGCTTCATTTCTGTGATTAGGCTTGAACAAGAATCTGGGTTTTTCTTCAATATGAAGTATTTTGAGGATGAGGTGCACAATGGCAACTGGGATGAGGTGGAGAGATATCTCTCTGGATTCACAAAAGTGGACGATAATCGGTATTCGATGAAAATATTCTTCGAGATCAGGAAGCAGAAGTATCTTGAGGCATTGGATAAGTAAGCCCTTGGAATTTCCGTTCACATGCAACAATGTGAGAAAAATAACAAATGAAAGCATGCATTTGATTTGTAATTCCTCGGTGTTTCATATGTAGACATGATCGCCCGAAAGCTGTGGACATATTGGTGAAGGATTTGAAAGTGTTTTCTACCTTTAACGAAGAGCTTTTCAAGGAAATCACACAGCTCTTGACATTAGAGAACTTTCGGTGAGCAATATTGGGATTATACAGTCTTGGGGGCTTTTGCCGTAATGCAAAAGAGAACACATAGCATTAAATCTTTTTACTTGTTTCATCATAGGGAGAATGAACAGCTATCAAAGTATGGGGACACGAAATCCGCAAGAGCTATCATGTTGGTGGAACTCAAGAAGCTTATTGAAGCAAATCCATTATTCCGCGATAAATTGCAGTTTCCTACTCTTAGAAACTCAAGGCTGAGGACTCTGATCAACCAGAGGTGATTGACTGTCCCGTGTCATTCTTCTTGTTCACTTCATGTTGGTATCTCTTTTCCGTTTTTAATCGGTGTTTTTTTGTTATTGTAACTGTGCAATTCACAGCTTAAATTGGCAACATCAACTTTGTAAAAACCCGAGGCCTAATCCAGATATCAAAACTCTTTTTGTGGATCATTCATGTGGCCCACCAAATGGCGCGAGGGCACCATCGCCTGTGAACAATCCACTGCTCGGCTCATTACCAAAAGCCGGGGGATTTCCTCCATTAGGTGCTCATGGGGTAGGTTAATTTCTACCTTATCTGGGTTTCATTTCTGTAGTCATGTTCATTTATTTGACACATCTTCATGAAACATGCTTGCCTTGTCTTTTTATGTCTTCAGCCGTTTCAGCCTACACCTTCACCGGTTCCAACACCTCTTGCTGGTTGGATGTCAAGCCCTTCTACTGTTCCACATCCAGCTGTGTCTGGAGGAGCCATTGCTCTTGGTGCTCCATCTATCCCAGGTGCTTTGTTATGAAATGTGTGGGTGTATATATATATTTGTGTATACATGTTCTGCATGTGTGTATCTTCTTGTGATGGCTTCAAAGATAAGCCAAGCATGTGCATATGTGTGTGTGTGTATACATGTTGTATGCTCTCTCTTTCGATCTCTAAGACCTTTAAGTTTCTTCTTGTTTTTGATATTAGCTGCCTTGAAACACTCAAGGACTCCTCCGATTAATTCGTCTGTAGACTACCCGTCAGGGGATTCTGACCATGTCTCCAAAAGAACAAGGCTTATGGGAATCTCTGATGAGGTAATCCAATCTGAAGTAAATATACACGTTTTTAACCATTGATTCTTGTCTTATTTCAGGTGATTGTTATGCTAGAATTAACTTCACTCTCTTGTTTTCCTTGTGTGTAGGTGAATATAGGTGTTAACATGTTACCGATGACATTTCCAGGGCAGGCCCATGGTCACGTTCCGGCTTTGAAAGCACCTGATGACTTGCCGAAGACAGTTGTGCGATCTTTGAGCCAGGGCTCATCTCCCATGAGCATGGATTTCAATCCGATGAAACAGACTCTGTTACTAGGTATATTTCTTGCAGTGTATGCATTTCACGTAATCAGCTCCAATATCTAACTAGGAAAACTGTTTCTTCTGTGTGTGTGTTTTTTCAGTTGGTACAAATGTAGGGGATATTGGGCTGTGGGAAGTTGGTTCTCGAGAACGTCTAGTTCAGAAAACGTTCAAAGTTTGGGATTTGAATAAATGTTCGATGCCCCTGCAGGTGCCTCTGCCAGATCTCTTTATGAAAGCAACAATAGAATGTTGTTAATCAGTATATAAATTTGAATTCTCAGTGACACAAAAGGTTTTGGTCTTCAGGCTGCTTTGGTGAAAGATCCCGTCGTTTCTGTCAACCGTGTGATATGGAGTCTTGATGGATCCTTGTTCGGTAAGATTTGACAAAACTTTTTGGCTATCCGACTTAGCAAACCCTCTCGGGTTTCCATAAATGCATAAGACTGCTTCTTTATATCGTATATCCTCATTCTCAACTACAGGAGTTGCTTACTCAAGGCACATCGTACAACTATACTCTTATCACGGCGGTGAAGACATGAGGCAACATCTTGAGGTGTCATCGAGTTACAATGTTAACATAGCCTTTATTCTTACATTCTTTTGCTTGGGACCGTAATGTTATGAAAACAGTTTGTGATTGCAGATTGATGCCCATGTTGGTGGTGTTAACGATATTGCCTTCTCAACCCCAAACAAGCAACTCTGTGTAATAACGTGCGGTGATGACAAGACCATCAAGGTCAGTTTTCTGTTTTGTTTTCTTCAGTTTCGTACTTTGGCTCTTCTGGATTTAAAGTGAGTAGAGACTAACTGAAAACCGAGAATTGTCAACTGTATAGGTTTGGGATGCTGCCACGGGTGTAAAACGTCATACTTTTGAAGGCCACGAAGCTCCTGTATACTCTGTCTGTCCTCACTACAAGGAAAACATTCAGGTATCTTGCAGTACTTTACGGTGACTTTGAGCTCTTGGTCCAAGTTTAAATTCATTCCGTATCCATCCATTCTTCCGCATCATGACCCGGTTATAGATTATGATGAAGCCTTTTTTTTTCTTTCCCTGTGCTGTAGTTCATCTTTTCAACAGCGCTTGATGGGAAAATAAAAGCATGGCTATACGATAATATGGGTTCTAGGGTGGACTATGACGCTCCTGGTCGTTGGTGCACAACAATGGCGTATAGTGCTGATGGAACTAGGTTAAGCATATGATCTTACCTTTTTTTCTTTTTCGCTTAGCCTGGTTCAGTTTTTGTATCGTGAAGTGAAGTGATAATATTTGACCTTTTTGACATGGATCACTGAAGGCTTTTTTCATGCGGGACGAGTAAAGAAGGGGAATCGTACATCGTGGAGTGGAACGAAAGCGAAGGAGCTGTTAAAAGAACATATCAAGGATTCCACAAGCGGTCCCTCGGGGTTGTTCAGTTTGATACAACAAAGAATCGTTATCTGGCTGCAGGCGATGACTTCTCCATTAAGTTCTGGGATATGGACAACATTCAACTGTTGACAGCCATTGATGCCGATGGAGGTCTACAGGCATGTTATGTTATGAATCTAAAACTGCATTTTTGAGATATTTCTCATGGTTTTTTGCTTAAAATCTGTCCACTGTTTTATAGGCAAGCCCGCGTATCAGGTTTAACAAGGAAGGCTCTCTCTTGGCCGTCTCTGCTAACGAGAATGTAATCAAGATTTTGGCAAATTCAGATGGTTTAAGGCTTTTGCACATGTCAGAAAACATGTCATCAGAATCCTCCAAGGTGCTGAAATTGAGCTTTTATTGGATCTTCAGCAAGCAGATTGCTTATGTTACTATTAGAACTTCTCTCAAGGACTCCGTTTCTGTGTTTGGTTTTTTGCAGCCTGCAATTAATTCCGTTGCAGCGGCAGCGGCAGTGGCCGCTGGTTCAAATGCAGGTCTTACAGAGAGAACAGCCTCTGTTGTTTCCATCCCAGGAATGGTGCGAGAATCCTACCTTTCATTGAATGTTTTGTACATGAATTTTCACTATCTTTGGGTTTGTGATCGAGCATTATCATCATTTGTGTTTTACAGAATGGAGAATCCCGAAATATGGTGGATGTGAAGCCCGTGATTGCTGAAGAATCCAACGATAAGTCTAAGATTTGGAAGCTTACTGAAATCAACGAACCCTCTCAATGTCGGTCCCTGAGACTCTCCGAGAATCTGAGAGTCACCAAGGTATACACACACACACACAAAACCACGAGCACATGATTATATATAAATATGGGTTGATTCTGATGATGCATTGTTTGGTTTTACAGATATCAAGATTGATTTTCACAAACTCGGGCAACGCTATCTTGGCGTTGGCATCAAACGCTATCCATCTGCTATGGAAGTGGCAGAGAAATGACCGCAACTCAACTGGAAAGGTAGATAGATACATATCTATCCCTAACGTTACTAAATCCGTGATAAGTGTCCCACATTGGAAAATGAGAGGGATTTGGGCCAATATATAAGTAAGGGTCAAATCTCCACTCTTAAGCTAGCTTTTGTGGTGGAGTTAGGGCCTAAACCTTATTAATTGGTATCAGAGCCTAACTCTCTACTTTCCGGTGGGTCTTTGACGGACCGTTCTCCTGCGGACATGCGGCAGACACGATCAGGAGAGGAACGGTGGGGAAGGGCCCGAGAAGCCGCCAGCGACCAGATTTGCCCCAGCGCCGTGGACGTCGCTGTCTAAAGGGGGCGGTATTGATAAGTGTCCGACATTGGAAAATGAGAGGGATTTGGGCCAATATATAAGTAAGGGTCAAACCTCCACTCTTAAGCTAGCTTTTGTGGTGGAGTTAGGGCCTAAACCTTATTAATCCGATGATATCTGATATTAGTTGTTATCATTTTGTCAATCAATTCTGTTTCGTTCATATGTATGTAGGCAACTGCTAGTATACCTCCTCAACTATGGCAACCAGCGAGCGGAATCCTCATGACAAATGATGTGGCTGAAACCAACCCTGAAGAAGCTGTACCTTGTTTTGCTTTATCCAAGAATGACTCGTACGTAATGTCGGCTTCTGGAGGAAAGATCTCCTTGTTCAACATGATGACGTTCAAGGTAATATTTGACAAAATCCCTTTGCTCAACGATTCACACATTCATCAGTTCCAGTTTTTGTTTTTGAGTGATATCTAAAAATGTTCTTGAATAAGCACAGACAATGGCTACTTTCATGCCACCGCCGCCTGCTGCAACGTTTCTTGCTTTCCACCCTCAAGACAACAATATCATTGCCATCGGGATGGACGATAGCACTATACAGATTTACAACGTCCGTGTGGATGAGGTATGAAGTGAAATTTTCAGCGATTATGGAGAAGAAACGTGTTATTATATGGATACATTCTCCGCTGGTTCAGGTTAAGAGCAAGCTCAAAGGTCATTCTAAGAGGATAACGGGACTCGCCTTCTCTAATGTACTAAACGCTCTGGTTTCGTCTGGAGCAGATGCTCAGGTGCTTAATCCGTTTCTCGTAAATGTTAAATTATAAGAATCCTCGTCTTAGTATGCTTACCGGGTCAGGGTTTTATCTGGGTTCAGCTTTGCGTTTGGAACATGGATGGATGGGAGAAGCAGAAAAGCAAGCTTCTGCAACTTCCGCAGGGAAGAACAGCTTCCGCGCCATCAGACACACGAGTGCAGTTCCATCAAGACCAGGTTCACTTCCTGGTCGTGCACGAGACACAACTCGCCATATATGAAACAACCAAACTCGAATGCATGAAACAGGTATACATGTCTGTAATGTATATACAGAATCTCTCCCCCACTATTCATATTCACACCGCTAAAGAACCGTCCTTTCTCCTAAAACAACCGTATTTTTTTCAGTGGGTTGTGAGAGAATCATCTGCCCCGATCACTCATGCAACGTTCTCGTGCGATAGCCAGCTGATCTATGCGAGTTTCATGGATGCGACGGTCTGCGTGTTTAGCTCTGCAAACCTTAGGTTGCGCTGCCGAGTTAACCCTTCAGCGTATCTGCCTGCTAGTCTGAGGTAACAGATCACACCAGAACAATCTTGAACCTCGATGCATCTTTTTTTTTTTTGAATGTAATGATGGCTGAACATCTGGACTGAAACCTTGTCTGAATCATTCATCAATAATAATATGCAGCAACTCCAATGTACATCCACTGGTGATAGCAGCACATCCGCAGGAGCCAAATATTTTTGCGGTGGGATTGTCAGATGGAGGAGTTCACATATTCGAGCCGATGGAGTCTGAGAGCAAATGTTGCGGTGGGATTGTCAGATGGAGGAGTTCACATATTCGAGCCGATGGAGTCTGAGAGCAAATGGGGGGTGGCACCGCCTGCTGAGAAGGGCTCAGCCAGCAGCATCGTGGCTACGCAGTCGGTGGGAGCCTCGGCCTCCGACCAGCCCCAGAGATGATCTTGAAACCTTAGTCACCTTTAGTCAATCTCTCTAGTTTCTGTTTGTTCAATCTTTTTTTTAAAAAAATCTTGGGCAGAAGACTTGCTGACTCAAATCTAACAAGTCGGATGAATCGGGTTCTCGTCTGTTTTTTTTTTAATTAATTTTGTCAAGGGTAAATTGATGTAACATAACTATAGCACGACGACTGTCGTTGGATCCATGTCGTTTCAGAAAAATGTCACGGAAAAGAAAACTCCCGAGAACCGACTAAAGAGTTCACTTCTGTTGTCTGTTTTTGTGTCTTTAGATATGTTGTCAGCAATAATCTCCTGCAGGGAACATTCTTTTAACCAAAAAAAAAAGATTAAAGAACAAATGACACATACAGATATATGCGCAAATACCATGCTAGTGGCTAGACAGATTCATTTAACCGCACAAAAACAGTTGACAACATTTCAGACGCAAAACCGCGTTACGTATCTCTGGAATAGAATGTAATGACCATAATCCATAAAAAATAAATAAAAGATTTATATACATAGAGAGAGAGAGAGAGAACAAAGAGAGTCCAGTACTCATGTTTGTGGGAAAAGCTTTATTTACAGTTTCTGCTTAAAGGGTCTCCCAATTTCATCAGCCCTTGAAGAAAAACCCATATTTACATTTTTTTCACTTATTTACAGAAAAGGATTCGAGGATCTTTGTCACCTTACCTTCTTGATGATGAGATATTTACTACTCGGGACGGAAGTTCACTAAGTTTGGGAGATCAGTGGACTGAAGCTTCCTGATGTCGAAGGCAGTGACCTTGCAGGACTCGAGGGTCAGCGATCTCAGCTTCTTTAATGGCTTCAGGTGACGTAATCCCGAGCTTGTTATGCGCGAGTTCGACACGTTCAACGACATCAACCCCTTCAGTCCTGCAATGACAACACACTGGTGTTTCAATATAAAACACATATAACACAAATGTCTTTTTGTGATGTAGAGAAGAACAAGTTTAGTTCTCTGTAATTGTTAACAGACCGGAAATCAGCTCGAGTGTTTTGTCAGTAAGGTTGGAGTTCTGCGAAAGGTTGAGGAACATCAAGGATGTGAGATCTTTGATGTTCTTCACTCCAGCATCGGTTAACCCACCACCACATATCTCTAGGGACTCCAACTTCTTGAGATCTATTTCAATCATTTCAAAGAAAGAATAACTCGGGCAGAGTTCAAATCCATAAATTTAATCACATGAGAAGTAGGCAGCGCAAGAGGATTGAAGCTTCAGAGAGATCCTCTGGCAATTCTCTCATTGGAAAAAGTCTGAACCAAGAATCTTGAAACTTACTTCGTATATGAATTGTTCCAGAATCTGTGATTCGAGCACCGAAGAGATCCAGGTGAGTCAACCCGGTCAAACCTGTACAGACAACAGACAGTAGACCGAGCATTCTAAATTATAGAACCTCTGTCTCACTGAAAAATCATCTCCATGTGTACGGACTTACTAGTAAGAGCGGAGAGCCCAGCATCAGTAACATGGCGAGCATCCAGGTTAAGTGATCGAAGAGATGTCAATCCAGATAATTTCCTTAGACCATTATCAGCCACAACAGTGAATGACAAATTTATGTTCTCCAGGTTAGTCAAACCTACACGTTAGAGATCACATTATGCAAAACCAGAGCAATTAATCCCCGATGAAGCGTATGATAGAGAGAAGAGGATGTCTGACCAGAGAGATGGCGAAGGCCATTACTTCCAACTTCGGTATCGGAGAGCTCCAGACATTTCAAGCGTACAAGACCTGAAACCAAACGAGTTCGTGTCAATGTTGGTCAAGTAACAAAAAAGAGAATACAGGACAAGGGGAAAGACGCTCTCTGAAGCATATTCACCTGACAAGTGAACAAGTCCTGCATCACCAATTCTACAGGAATCCAAATTCAAGCTTTCCAACTTTGTTAATCCTGATCCACAGCAATTACAGATGGTTTTTCCATCATCATGAGGTTGCCCTCCCATATGTGGACTGACATGATGCTATACTAAGAACTAATAATGTCCAACAGCCATTTCTCCAACATGGGCCTTTGATAAGTAGAAGGGCATGCTCAAAAACAATGAAAGGAAATATAAAACAGGAAAAAGATGCAACCTTTCAGGTGCACTAAGCACGAATTCGTAATGTTGTTCAAGCCCAAGTTTAGTATCTTCAGATTAATTAACTCTGCATGGGAACACCAATAAAAGTCATTTACATGCAAAAAATGGTGGGATGTCTAAACTGAAAGGCAAAACGTAAGAATGCTTCCCATCATGAAAATTGAAGACAGATATATTTACTCTTACCAGCAAACTTCTCACAGCCACTGTCTGAAAAATTGCATCTATTGAGGTTCAAAAACATTAATCCAGTGAGATCTGCAAAAGCACGAAAAAGATAATAATATGAGGTCATTTGGTCGAAATTTCACGTATTACATCATTTCAAAAAACATGGATCCAATGACAGAACGTAGCATCCCCGGATCATTACAAAGTTGGCCATTCGATCACGGACAAGGGGAAAAAATAGCCAGCAGAAGGATGAACACTATACTGACCTGAAAGTGACTCCAGGCATGCAGCAGAAATTAGGCGGCAACCCTCCAAGTTCAACAAAGATAGCTTGCTTAGCCCTGAAACAAGCGTTTAGGTCAATTGTGTCAAACAAAACTGATTTTTCTATCTTTTCTGTCTTCGTTACACTGAAATTCATTTGAAACAATAAAAAAACATAACCCAAGGTCACAAAAACCGCTCT